TTCTCTTTGTATCAAGAGCTTCTATCCTATGTGTTTTCTTCAGAAATCTCCATATTGTTTTCCAGAGAGCTAGACAAACTTGCAGTCCCACTAACAGTGGCAAAATATTTAAAACAAACTACAATGAAAAATAAATTCCCTCATTGCTATTCAACACTATATTCTGGCTGCAAAGTTCTTCATATTTTACTCTACAATTATCAAATAAAAAAAAAAGTATCATCTGGTCCAGTGCATCTTAAAATCAGATTTTAAACTTCAAAGAAAAAAAGCTTTGGTCCTTGCCCAAAACTTGCAACCTATTCTCAAAAAGTAGAGTGATCTTGTCTAAACTTTTAAGACAAGTTGTTGCACACCTGCCTTAAAAATAACACTGTTTTACTATTTTAATCAGAATGAAAGCAAAAGTTCTAAAGATTCACATATATCAGGATATTTTATAAGCAGTCTTAAAAAGAAAAATTAATTGAATAAACTTAGAACTTAATTGCTTTAATAAGCAGTTTATAGGTTAGGCAGCATTCCATCTGGAGAGGAGGTAGGCCCTACAAGGAGTCATCTAAAATGTTAGGCTTTAATAGTTAGAAAGAGAATAGGACAAGGTAATAAGCAAAGAAAAGCAAAATTTCAAGTAACCACCTTCCGTAGGGATAGGGGAAGACTCGTACATGATTACCTTACCAGTGCAACCAGGATACTCCAGATTAATTGATTTAAAATTCTACTTTTGGGAGAGACTTGAGTAGCAACTAGGTTTTAAGTTTGGTGGGCCTATGTATTTCCATTTTGTGCCTGTTTCTTTCTTTCTTTCGTTCTTTTTTTAATGATAGCACTAACAATGCAAAGTCTAAATGGTCTAAACAACCAAAATTCATTTCTGCCTTATGCTACATTGTCATGTTTTTACAGGGCAGGGAGAGAGGCACCCTAAACCCCCAAACCTGCCCTCTCTAAAGAGATTCTGCCATCTACCACATCAAGACAAAGCATACTATAATGTGCAGTACCTTCATTGAAAGAAACTAACATAGTTAGTGTACAACAGAGAGGAGTGAAAGGAAAGAATAGATAAAATTGCTTTCATATGAAACACCAAAGTTAGCCATCTTCTTGTGGTAAATTCACAACCAAGCAGGATTGGTCAGAGCAGGACAGCTAAGTCCTGAAATCCTGCCAGACATCTAAGGCACATTCTGGCGGGGATCCACAGGAAAGGAGCAGAGGGGGCCAGCCAACTCTGGAACCAAAGGATCATGATCAGCAATACAAGTCAGGATAAAGGCTGCCCACTGTTAGCTTCCCTTAGCTCTCCCAATCAGGTTCTATCTTGTTTAACTGTCTTCTTCTATGTGTCGCAAGGTCCTGGTCCAAGTTCAAGGCCAAGAAGCAAGTGCTTCACATGTCTCTGATACCAATGTCTTCTCCGTCTCCATCTTGATTGGCCTTCTCCCAGTCTTTTCTAGCTTCCTCTCCCAGCTCACCTCCATCTTTCCTTAGGGTGAAGAAGTCCCCTTCCCCTGGGAATTAGCCTGAGACAGTACCTTCAGCCCTTCATGAACACCCAGGGACAAAAACTGATGAAACAGTCATCACCTTGTATTTGTCATCTGTTGAAGCAATTATATACTCTGATATTCAGGAATCATGCAGCATATTTTGATTACTTTTATAATTTTTGACCTGAATATAGGGAGCAAGAAGCAGAAATTTACCTGAAAATAAACCTAAAATGGGGCAGAATTGCAGCCTCAGGTCTGACTCACTTTTCTTCCTCTGCTCTAATCTTTCTATTATTTTGCCTCTTTCTTGATTTTAATTTTGCCACAGTAACGCTATTATTGCTACCTTAAAATCCCAGATATGTTTTTTTACTTTGGCCCTGCATTAAACTGCCTTTTACTCATTTCCCTCAGGTTTTTATTCAGATACAATTACATCAAGGAAACCCTTCCTTGCTTTCCCATTTAAAAAGAATGTATTTCATTGTACTACTGAGTTCTTAATTCTTCCTGTCCCTTTTTATATATAACATTGCTTAATATGTTGTCCATATTTCACTGACAACAAAATTTAATGAAAAGTAGGAATTTTTTCTTTTTTTTAAACTTTTTTTTATTTTATAAGTTTATTTTTACATCATTTTTACATGTACATTTTGTACATTTTTTTTCCATCTCAATTGTAACCCCCGTGGGTTTCCCATCACCAGGTCACCCATGTGCCATCACCATAATCCTGTGTACTTCCCTTCCCAACCCCCCGTTTTTGATCCCATTCCCCACTCCACCCCCATAAAAATGTCTCTGGTATATGGCTGTTCACTATTCTTGTTATTTTCTTACCTGGTCCATTATACTCCGAATAGTAGGAATTTTTACTGATTTTTTTTTATTGCTGCTATATTGTTATCATTCAGAACAATGACTAGCCATGGCATTAAAAAAAACATACTTATTGCAGTAAGTCAAATAATGACTGAATATGTGATCTTCTTAATTTAATTAAAACAGCATATTCAGAATTACAATTTATAATTTTGTGTTGATATCCACCTGTAATAAAAGTTTATGCAGGTATTTCACTAAGCACTTTCTGATATATTAACCCATTCTGTTTCTAGATAACCCTAAAAAGTAGACACAGTCATCCCCATTATACAAATGTATAAACAAGCAGTCAGAATTAGTGCAGTGTCACAGGAATAGAAATTTACTTTAGGATACCTCAATATGGTAAATTTATCTCTTTTAATGCTTATTTTAGCCCAAGAGTTCTCACCAAATAGCTATGTAAGTGGAGCAACATTATCTCTATTAGGAATGATAAGAAGTAATGTCAGTTACTAGAAATAATTTTGAAGTCACTGAAAGTATTACATATATACTAACATTTACATGTCAACATCTTTGCAAAAGTAGCAGTAGTTTTCTATCCTTACTGTACTTGAGAATCTTGAGGAGTCTTTAAAAAAGTAAGAATGGCCCATTCCTTTCCCCTAGAAGCTGATTCAAAGTCCCCAGAAAATTATAATATGCATCTAACATTATGTGCCACTTAGAGGATTAATTTAAGCATTGAAATTCTTTCAGAAATGTGCATTTTCACAAAAAGAAGTGAAATGTGTCTATTCGTGGGTTCAGGTCAGGTTAGATACAATTGCCTATTTGATCTATTGACCAAAGAAAGCATTGTTTGCACTAGTTAAATAAAATATAGCATGTCTTTCATCCTCTTATTCTCTATGTTCTCTGATTTGAGTAAAAATAAGCTAATAGTTATACTGGAGGACAAAAACAAAATCAGCTTTTCTCCACTTTTGTTTGTATGTGTTTTCAGATGATGTGGTTCCATAATCCAAAAATTTCAAAAAGCAAAGATAATTTTATTTTATCTGATATTATTTATATATCTATTTACATGTATAATTTTCTTACTATACACTAAAGATGTCTATATTCTGAACATATTTTTGTCACTGTATTGAGGAAATACTGGACATAAGTATTGATGTCAAATTCAGTTACTAATGAAGTCAAACAATTCTTAGTCAGTAGTAGGTATTGGGACACATTTCTCCTTAGGATGGCAAAAACTGAGGCAAATTATAATTCTACAGGCTTTCAATGAGTTAACCATAATGAGTATTCAATCTGTATTTTCACCTGAAACCATCTGTTTGATTTTTTAAATCTCAATTATGTTAACGTAAAATATTAAAATATCCACATATAAGTCTCATGCCCCTGTGTTTTCCTTCTGCTGGCATCTCTACAAAGTTTAGTTGCTTTAACTTTACTCTCTCTTTATTCAGACATTAAAATATTCATGATCCTGGTTGTGAAGAATGGCCCATTTTTTCAGTCCAACTCATGAATTAATTCAGTAGCTAGGTTTAGTAACCTGGAAGGTGTTGGCTTCTGTTTCTGATAAATTATTGCAAAGAAAGAATACAAAAGATTTATTACAAATAATATGAGTGATCCAGTGCCTTTATGGCATGCAGCTTGTACAGTTAAAAAACAGCAATTCTCTTGCTCTGTTAATGCATTGTATATGCTACTCAGTGTTTCTAAAGTTGCAAAATGCCTACTGAGCTGTCTCTGTAGAGATTTAGCATCCGGTTCTAGAATAAATGAGGGGGGGTGGTGGTGGTGGTAATTCTCATTTCCTATTATTTATGAACTAGCCTTGGCTTATCATTCAAGCTTTCTGACTTTGTCAGTGTGTCTCAAACTCCTCACATTTTGTGACTCAAATGCATACCTCAAAATGCAATTTATCACACATACCTTGTTCTATCAAAAGGATTTAGAACTGTTTTTGGAGACCTTGTTTTAGTTGAACTCTTTTCTTTCTGGAGTCACCATTTCTCCTAATGCTATTCTGAAAGCAAATATAGTGCAACCTAATTTAAGCTTTTATTTTGGTTTACATTAATCTATAATTTTCCTTTTTTTTTTTTTAAGCAGTGTGGCTTCTTTTCAAAGAACTTTCTAAAATGGTCTTCATTAATGGGTCTCTTAAGTGTTTGACACTCAATAGCATAGCACCTTGATAATTTTGCTGGACCTTTGAAAAAATGGGCACATAACTGAGAAAATTAAAGTCTGTATCTCCACTACATATTTACATACTACAATATTATGTTAATATTTGAAATCTTTGTTTGGAATAAGAAAAAGAGTTCTGAAACATCCCTCTAAGCTATTTAGGTTTCCTTATAACCAGGCTTTTCCCAAGTAGCCTGAAAAATACTGGTTATGAAATTAGAAGACAGTTTCATTATTGGCTCTATTACACATTAAATGAACAGTGTTGAAAAACTGAAAATCTTGAACTTCAAATTACTTTATCTCTACTTCTTTTGCAAGGTTGTTTGAGTTAAACAGCTTTATGCAGTTGGTTGTTGAAAATGTAAAAGTACTACGTAAGTTTTGTTTGCTGTCCGCCCCCCCCCCCAAATTCACAATGTCTTTTTCTACTCTGCTTTGTAGCTAAAGTGCTGAGCCCTGTGGATCGCTACAACAAGGCTCAATTCAACAAGACCACACTGCACTGTGACTTGAGCTGGCCGTGGGAAGCACCAGCCAAAGGTAAGAAAGAGACAGCATGGAGGGATCAAGGTAGGTTTCCCCTCGTTGCCTTCATGCCTGGTTGCAATTTGCCACTGTGATTCGTAGTATTTACCTGGCTTCTTCCTCCACATCTTCATCAGAATCCCTTTTGCACACTCATTTCCATCATCATTTGTGAGCATGTCATGTATTTTTCTGGAACTTTAAAATAATTATATTTATTTTTTTCTTATAAGTGATGAAATATATATACTGTAACATAAATCCACATACAATCCTTTAATTCTTCTGTATTTTCTGAGTAAATAGACACCCCATTCCTAAATACTTGGTTGTTTACTTTTCAAGAACACAGTGATTTGAGGGTAAATTTTAGTCATTTGTGAAATTATACTCAAATTTATTTAAAATTGTGATTTTTAAATTTTTATCTACCTTGTTGGATTAGTGTTCTGTCTTCAAATTCATCTGTACTTACATTGTGTTTTTTGATCTATATATTTATATATAGCATTTGAAATATAAATAATTTAGAATCTTATGGCTAGAACAAAATTATTCCAAACTCAAAAAGTTCCAAGTATATATGTCAGTGTTTCCAAGAAGTTCTTTTTACTGGAATTTGAGAAAATGTGTGGTATCTCAGTTTCTAGATCATTCTACCTGAGAAGGTCTTGCTATTATAGACACTTGTCCTTAAGGCTCACTTGCATTTACTTCCTTTTGCTGTGTCATGCTTACATACAATTCTCAGATCTGAATGTGAACTTGCATTATTCAGATAACTTTGAGTGATCAGTTTTCAGTAATGCCATAATTTGCAAATTACTTTGGTAAGCAGTGGCTAGGGTTGTATACTATACATATGTTAACATTGCCCAGCTGATTACTGCTGTTCTCAATGCTCCGTCATTCATGATTCAGGTATAGAAGGTTGAAATCTCTGTTTGGAGTAATTTGTTATCAGAACTATCCTGCATTCCATGAGTACTTTTCTTTTCCACTTCGTCAATCTCTCGCCTACCTCCTTAGCTCAATTCTCAGGCAGGATGAAGATTGGCTTCTCTATTGTAATTTTACCCTAGCCCAAAGTTGCCATATTGTTCACTGTTCTCCCCATGAAAATAATTAAAAGATAGCAATCACTCCAATCATTCCTCTTTCTGACTAGGCTTTGACTCAGCTATATAGGGAATATGGTAATAGGCTGTAGCCACATTCTCCTCTTGACGTTTTTCTCTCCTTTTTATTTCATTCCTGTTATAATAGTTGCTTGAGCATTTAATACACAATCTTATATGTACTTAGTTTGAGATAAAATGTGTCTTCCTGAGAAGACTCATCTTCACTTTTAAACCAATCATCTCAGTTATTGTTCAACACTGAAATGAAATTTGAATTTGTGATGATGTACTTCCTACTGCTTGATGTGGGATATATTTGTGTTAAGAAAAAATGAATTAAATTGCTAACCAAGAGAATAAAGGGAGGCTGCTGATATATCTAAGCTTTTGATAGATTTTAACTTTATGAGATTTATAATTAGTGTCAGTAAGATCAATGCTATTTGAAGTTCATTGAGTTTTCAACAAGGTGATACTCTTTTTTTTTTTTCTTTTCTTTTTCTTTTTTTTTTTTTTTTTTTTTGAGTATCTACTCATTATAAGCCTTTGTTGGTCTGGTAGAATTGCATTCTCTGTGATATTTTGAACAGTATTCTAGAATAAAAGAAAGAGCTTGGCTCTTCCGCAAATCATGCTTGTACATCAATTCTAACACTTGTTACATTATGTTAGACAAATATTATTGACTTTAAATTTTTATCTAAAAATGAAAGGCTATCCATACCTACCATAGCTAGGTATAGTTAGTCAACAAACGTTGATTTACTGTTCCCACTTCTGTTCCCCTCTTTTAATTTCTACTTTCTAGAAAGTTGGGAAAAGGTAGCTCTTGCAAGGCAGGAAAAGGAAAGGTGAAGGGAGCATGGAGCATTGGAGGGATTACAGTGGTCTATGGTGGAGGACTATGGGACCTTCATGGTTAATGTGCTACGGAGACAATACCCAAAGGAGGATATACTATAATTCCAAATACCAACAATGGCACAAAGCAGTGGTGTTACAATTTTTAAAAATACTAAAAAATGTGTATTATAATGCAAGTGCATTAGTAATAAAAATATTATCAATATATGGAAAATAATACCCTATTAAGTTTTGTCTCTGTAAGAAGCACCTAGACTTGGTAACTTAAGTGGTGTACATTTATTTCTCATGGTTCTTGAGACTGGGGATTCCAAAATGATGGTACTGGCAGGTGTTTATCTGGTGGAAACACTCTGTTGAGTTTATAGCAGGCTGTCTTTTTGTCTCCTCATATTATGGTGTGACTTCTCTGTTCTCATAAAAACACCAATTCCATCAGGAGGGTCCTACACTCATGGCCTCATCTAAACCTAATTACCTGTCAAAGGCTCCACTCTCTTATACTACCCACTGAGGATGGATTCCAACAGAGGAATTTCGGGGAGTACAAATATTTAGTTCATAATATGAATGATCTCCTTATTTCTTGAGGTTTTTTTTTATTTCAGAGTTTTTTAGAGTTCATAGTAAGTATAATTTTTTTAATTCCAATTGAATCCAACTATGAGAGAGGGTATTTGGGAATCTTCCTCACTCCCTTCCCACAAATAGTTTTCACTTTGGGAGGGGCCCTTCAGGATAAAATAGTGATCACTGCTCAAGTTTGTATGGGTATACAATCTATTGAATTGTCTATTTCTGTGACACATTTGGCAAACTTTATAGTGCCTGAGAAACAAGTTAAACTGTTACTGTAAACAAACATCAATGGATTCACCACTTCACTGTGAAGCAAAGAATTATGGGTTTCCACAGCTGTGGAACCTCAGCCTTCATGCATTACCTAGAATTGAAGCATATTTCTATTATAATAAATAACTCAGGCTTCAGAAAATCAGGAACTAAGAAGGCATTTTGTTTGGAGGCAAGTCTCTTTGATTTAGCACACAATGAACCTTCCCTGCATCAGTAGGCACAGGCATTCGCATGTACTGGAAACACCTAAGAACTTGATAAACCTGATTGCTGGGCTCTACCACCAGTTTTTGATTGCAGAGATCTTAAGTGAGGGTTATGAAATTGCATTTCTCACAAGGTACTAAGTGAAGCTAATGTAGCTGGTCTAGTTTTCTCACTTTGGGAAATGTAGGAAATGCCATCCTAAGGCAAGAGGAAGAAAGAGCAACTTACTATAAAGACTTTGTGGTGAGGCAAATGCCATATAAGAAGGACCAAATAAAATTGAATATTTCAATATATAATTTTGTCAAATAATATTTTTAGAAATAAGGGATTGTATGCATAAGATTGAAAGCCAGAGAGTGATTAAAATCCTGCACTGACATACTACTGGACAATTAGATTACAGAATCTTGGTTTTCTCATCTCTTCAATTTAACTAATACCAACCTCTTAGTACAGTATCTATTAGTATTCAACAAGATTAGTGAAGTATCTGGAACATTTAACAAATGTCAGTTGGTCTTTTCATTTTTATAGGTGTTTGAGTTATCAGGGTGAAAATGGACATGATAGGTTTTTGGAGTGAAACAAGTTTGAGTTTGAATTTTTGCTATATTACAGTCTTGAGAATTGGGACTAAGTCCATTACTAACATGGTTAAATGGTGTTATAATGATTAAATAAGACAATTTTGGGAAAGGTGGGGAAAAAGTAGACTTCCAGTCATAGTATCAATAAATACTAGGAGTGCAATATACAACAGAATAAATGTTGTTAACCCGTCTTTCTGATATATAGGAGAGCTAATAAAAGAATAGAACTGAAGAGTTCTCATCACAAGGAAAACTGAAATTGTTTAATTGTTTTGCTTCCCTTTTTGTAGTATCTATTTGAGATGATGATGTTAGATGAAGCTATTATGATTGTCTCACAACATAAATACTTCAAACAAAAATAAAAGTGTGTGTGTAGGTGATTATCTTCTGCTGCGATAAAGAGGGCACGTCCTCAGGGAGGGAATCCAGTGCCTTTCTAAGATTCAGTCAAGTTCTTTGGTAGGTACTGTGCCTGATGATTTCATTTTGTACTTTAAACTTTCCATGTACATTATTCTGTCTTTAATGCTTTGGACATATTTAATTTATTAAATATAAAAGTAAAAGAGAATAGAATAGAATTAAGTGTGATCAGTAAGTTTTATTGCACTAAATATTAATTTTAACTGTGTCTCTAACATCTAAGCATATTTGTTTGAACTAGCATAAGAAAGATGATCCATTCTAGGCTTCCTCCCTCACCTTCCAATATCCTGCTCATCCTGATGGATTACCTGTGGCACCTCCCTTCTTGTGGAAACTGGGATAATCAGTTTATTTCCTTTGAATAGCAGTTCATCATTTTCATTGATTTTCTTTCTGCGGGTAAAATATTCTTTGATTCCTCATGTCACTTTACTTTTCTCTTCAAGCCATCCATCTCTTCTCAAGACTCAGAACCTCTGGGGGCTGTGTTCTTCCTCTGCTTGCCTGACTGAGGGTAGATTTCCTTCTAAAACTGCTGAGGCATTTTTTTCTTCATCATACCAACCATATGTGTGCATTCTACTCTATCAATAGCTGCCATAATTTGATGTAGTTGAAACTCCCTTTTTTTTCTTGTTCCTGTCTGTCATGGCAAGCAACATACACAGACGATATATGCAATAAGCAATTTTCTTGCTGGACTGCTGTGGGCAGTGACTGGGACTTTTATAGTAAGTACTTATGCTGTTAGTGCCAGGAAGATTTAAGAGAGCATTATTCTGAGAACACCAAGTTCACTACTGTATTCTGTTTCAGAGGAAATTATTGGACAGTGACATGGAAACATTAGTGGCAAAAGACTACCCTACTCTCTACCTACCACTAAATTCTGCCAATGCTTGTTAATAATTTGCCTATGTAATGCACTACATCTGTGCTATGCACC